CCGTCACTGGTTTGGGTAGAAGCGGTGACTTGCAGGGCATCTGCCTAACCTTTCTCTCGCGTCTGCCAAGTTTGAACGTCGGTATCGACGAGGTCCACCACCGTGTGCTCCACGGTGATCTACGCGTGAATTAGCTTCGAGAGTTTGCGTTCCATCTACTGCACCCTACCCCTCCCCCCTCAGCCGTTTGAGTCCAGTGTCAAGAGAACCAGAGGAGAGCTCGGGTGCATGTGGGCGCTGCTGCGTGAGCCTGCACCTACTCGTGCCAGCACACTCGCTCATGTTCGCCAATTGTTATGGGAACGGAACCCGAATAACGCCTGCCATGCCCTGATCTGGCCCCCCTTGTTGGTCCAGCGCATCTACCACGCAGCTCGTCAGCTCCGGTTTACAAGTCCTTAAATATGACACCACTCACATCGAGATCAGCCTCCCACCCCCCACCCTCAGCAAAATCGAGAGTCGAGCGGACTGGAAATCAGACGCCGTGGCTGGCGTGTTTAAAGGCCTCCATCTAACGCCGGTCACCTACCTCGCTGACTCCCACATAAGTCTAACACAATGGCGTGGCCGGAGGGGGGAGGGGGGGGGAGTAAACATAAACGTTCACTGAATTCCCGAACGCCCGCTTGCAAATAGTTAACTTCCGCTTCACAGCACAGCTGGACGGAATGCGCATTCGAATTGTTTACTTGGTTCGCTGACGGCGCGCCACTGCCTGAAATATGGTCCCAGGGGTAGCGATCCTCGTGCCTGTTGTTTTGTTGCATGGTTCCGTAAGGTTGTTACCAGCTATGGAAGGAAGGGGAAAATGAACTACCCTTGCGCTTCTACAGCCTCATTTTTCTCTGCTGTCCGACAAGTGCAACTAGCCGTTTTTCCCGCATGATTTCTCGGTCCCAGTGAGTGCTCGGCCTCTCGAAGGTCTTTATTGCTGGCTCTACCATCAAAGTCGTGGATTCAGTGCATTCAGAGCAAACCGAAAAAGTCTCGCTGCGTCTGCACTGACGCCTTACTGTTAGGAGCAACCCTAAGTGACTCATTCGCGCGCTGAACTATCGATCGGCCCGTAAGCCCTGCGCGTGATGATAT